AAAAAAAATTGTCATTTTCCAAACATTTGTGGCAAAAAAAAAAAAAAAATCTTCCATGGACTCAATATGCCACTCAGCAAATTCCTTGGAGTGTCTACTTTCCCAAAAAGGGGTCATTTGGGGTTTTTTTTTGTGCTGACCTGGCATTTTAGCAGCTCAAGAAATGTGATAGGCAGTCAGAAAGTAAAAGCTGCGTAAATTCCAGTATATATACACTATAGTTTGTAGAGGCTATAACTTTCACTCAAACCAATTAATATACATGTGCTGGGATTTATTTTTTACCAAAGACATGCAGCAGAATACATGTGGGCCTAAATTTATGACTAACTTTGAATTTATTGGATATTTTTATAACAAAGTAGAAAATATCTTTTTTTTTTTTTTTTTTTTTTAATTTTTTTAGTCTTTTTTTTTGTTTATATCACAAAAAATAAAAAATCCAATGGTGATGAAATACCATCAAAAGAAAGCTCTACTTGTGTGAAAGAGGACATCAATTTCATTTGGGTATAGTGTTGCATGGCCGCGCAGTTAACAGTTGAAATAACTCAGTGCTGAATATTAAAAAATGGCCTGGTCAGGCAGGGGGTAAAGCTTCCGAAGGGCAAGTGGTTAAACTTGAGGGTTTTACTTAAAAAAAAAAAAAATCTTTAGTACTGCTTTATTATTTCAATTACACAGATATTATATGGATTATAGTTGTCTTTATATCTATTATTAAAGGTATATCATATTGATTTTTATGTAAGGGAGGTGGCATCATTGTCCCATTATCATTTTATTTATAAATTTATAATTGCATTCTTGAGCACTAAAGTCATAGCAATATATCAAATTGTCTTGGACTGCAACCAAACATAATTTATCTTCTTCCTTCAACTCCAAAGCTTGTAGTATTCCACTTTTAAATATAAAAACCATCACAGTCATATATATATATATACACACGCTCATGCACACAAACACACACCTAACACGCAAAAATTAAATATGCTGAATACAGTAAGGTGCTATAAATACAAATTAAGTGGTCCTTGATTTCCTTGAGCTAGCTTTGGTGGCTAAGCGGGTCGAACTTTGGTGATGCATTTAGCATCAGTGTCTGGGCTCATTATTAAGTGGTTTGCAAAAGGAAGTGATGATGAACAAACTACAGTAAACCAATCAACAACTCACAAACAATTTTGCTGACCTGACTGTAGCAAACTGAAATGATTCTATCTACACCTAACTAGTGCTGTTCACGTAATACTGTGAATTGAAGACGGTATATGTAAAGTTTTGTTAATGATTGTAATTCATTGGACATGTTATAAATGTTCTCCTGACAGAACATGCTGTCAAGTGATCTCTTTGATTGGTTAATAACTTCTATGTAGGGCAAACACCATGCGGAATCCTCTGATTTATTAACATCTTATGAAGTGCTTAACTCCAGCTGTGCTTAGAACAAATATTCAATTCAATAGCTAAGAGGCAAGCAGGAAGTAACATCAAAGAGTGTTGGGATCACTGTCCTGGACCAGAGTGTCTCAAACTGTGTGGCAGGACACTTCTGTGAGCCCTGCAATCAATACTTTTAGGGCATGAGATGCTTTTTATGTCATCACTTTTCTAATGTTTTTTACTTTCTAATTCAAATAACTCTTTTCCTATGGTGTATAGCAGATTTAAAGCACCATTTTAAAGTTTATTTTATATTGTTCTAATAATGTGCAAAATAGGTTAGGTGTTATCTGCGATAACAATACGTATTGAAGTGAAAGTTTTTAAAGCAGACCCAGCATCAGATTTATTTTTCAAATTAGTGCATGCATGGTAAGTAATGTTTAAAGAGAAATATTAAGTATCTATATTAAGTATATAAAAAAGAGACACAAATCAGTGCAGTTCCATAATCATTAATACAGTATTATTGTTATACAGGATTTATATAGCGCCAACAGTTTGCGCAGCACTTTACAAAATTAAGGCAGACAGTACAGTTACAATACAATTTGGTACAAGAGGAATCAGAGGGCCTTGCTTCTTAGAGTTTATAATCTATGAGGGAGGGTTGAGTGCTTCAAACGGTAATAGCTGTGGGGGATGAGCTAATGGAGAAAGTAAAAATGCAATTTATTAGTTAGAAGCAGGAAAGGTTTCTTTAAAGAGAAGGGTTTTCAGGGCTTGTCTAAATGCAAGCAGTGTATGTATATGGATACTGGCTTCCTGAAGTCCTTGTAGAACACAACTGGAGTGTGAGGAGAAGAAGTAGCCCAAGGAACTAGTTGGCTTTTGTGCTAAAAAGAAGCATGCTGATAAAAAAACGAGAGAGACAGTTGTGTCATCACCGTGCTACTTTTCCTTTCACTGTCCATTCACTGGCTGGGATGGGTCCAGGATGACCTGCACCCAGAGAAAGTTTGAATCATGCTGGCCATCAGACTGAGGACAAAAAAAGACTGATGGAAATTTCTGATTTGAAGGTGAATATTGCAGCAAAAGCTAGTTTTGTTATTGTATCTTTAAATTGGATATTCATTTAATCTTGCTAATTTTGGCTGGAGTTTTGCTATAAACAGAAATCATAGTATTCCTTCTGACAACACCTTTATCTGCTTTTCTCTACAGAAGGACTGAGCCATCTTTGTCCAGGCATCATCCAGGATGAGAACCTACTTCCTGCCAGACAGCAATGTCATAGACCCTGGCAAGATTGTAAAAAAGAAGAAACTCTCCTCTATAACCTACAGAAGGAAGGGATACAGGAAACCTCAGTGATCAATCTATCCACATGATCTATAGAAAATAGCAAGTTGTGTCAGCTCAGTAAATTATTTTCCTTTTGCCCTAGAAACAATACTGTCCATGACACTTTTTATTTGCTCTAACAACCAATTTTTCGGCACAAGCTTTCGGGGTGTGCCAGTTTCTTCAAGGTCCAAGAAGTACTAATGCACATAGTTTTAGCAGAGTGTTCTGCTCTGGAGAAGGTCCCTTTAATTGAAAGTGTTTCAATTAAAGATTCTTTTGTTCACCATAAGACAAGAGGTCTTGACCGAATTTCGAGTTTTGACTCACTTTTGCCCCACAAAAGTTCAATGCATTTCAGTTCAACATTAACTTTAAGTCTGCAAACAATTAAACATTTTTTTCTCTACCATTTGTGGCATTTGCACACGGTTATATAGTAAAACCTCCTGAAGTCAAAAGTAGGTTTATACCCCCAGATCATTTTGGGAGAAGAGAAAGCTCCTTAAAAATTGTATGACATGATGTACAATTAGCAAAAAAAAAGCCTTACCAAGCCAATTTAACAAAACATAAATACCAGAGACTTATTGAAGGATGATAAATCTGTCATCATCACACCTGCCTATAAAGATAGAACTATCATTTTTACCCTGAATATCAACAGGCAATGCTTACTATGCTTTATAAGGACACCTACATGGCAATTGCAAGGGACCTCACTATCAAAATACAATTCAAATACAAACTTATATTGATTTCAGAGTTGCCAACAGTTGACTCAATGTTGATACTGGGAAATTTCTGTACATTTAACATCTCAAGCATCCTGTTACTTTGGTACAACTATGAGCTGGGTGGAAAGAGTCTGCAGTAACCAGTGAATCTCACCTACAATGCTTTGCAGGCTCAAATGCAGAAAAAATAAGAAATGCTCATTTTTGTTTTTAAAAGGTGGAATTCTCCATTAAACAAGTCAAAGGTACTGCAATAGACTTTGCCAATCTTTTTGTTGATTTTGTTTTATCAATCTAAGTTTTTCAAAACAGGATATATTTTGATGCTGTTATGGTGGTGTAGAATGGCACCAGAATACTTTATGCCAATATACAAGCTTAAGTTGACCAGAATATGTTACGCCATTTAAAAGCATAAATCTAAGACATCTGGTAAATTGTTTCCCAATTTCACAGTACCTATGGTTTGCTCTAATGACAATGACCTAAAAGAGAAATTATGAAAGATTCTACACTTGGGTTCATAAGAGTGCCCCTAAACTGGCACATACTAAACATCTCAGCCTGTCGGATACTTACTTAAAGTCTACTTTAGGTCTACTTTAAGTAACTTGAACATAGTTATATGCACAAAAAGGTTGAGAAAAACAAGCAAAGAAAACTCAAATTCAATTTTCATTATGTTACCCCTATGACAACAGATTTTGTGGGCACACACTTTTATATACCTCAGATAATATAAATACATGTACTGCATCTGTTATAAAATGTTGATGTCAAATGTTTTCTCTGAAAACTTGTATAAGCCCCCATTCACACTAACGCATTTTCTCCTACTTTTGTTGTTGCGCTGGAATGCATGACAAAGGAGATCACATTATTCCTATGGTACCTGATCACATCAATGCAGCACAGTGCAGTGCACAGTGCAGTGCATTCCTTGAAAAAGGTGTAGGTGCTTCATTTGGTGCAGCAAAGTCTGTTTGGCCCCATAGATTTCAATGAGAATGCATGAAAATCACATATAAAATACATGTAAAATGGATTGTACATGCATTGTAGGTGACGTTTTGTGTATAAAATCCTTTCTCCTCCTACAAAAGAAGCATGAAAACGCACCAAAAACACATGTAAAAATGCACAAAAATGTGCTACAAAAATGCACTGAAAAAAGGCATAATTATGCAGCAGTACCAGTGTTAACTGCAGGCTAACAAAGAACATACCAACTGATAAGATAATGAGGTGTAGTGTATTGGGAATCGGGAGACACCCACACTCTAAAAGCTTAAGAAAAATTAAAAAATTTTTAGGGATGAAAAATAAACATACCGTATTTTCCGGCATATAAGACGACTGGGCGTATAAGACGACCCCCTACTTTTCCTGTTAAAATATAGGGTTTGGGCTATACTCGCCGTATAAGACTACCCCTCTTCCAACGTACACCAAATAAAAATTAAAAAACATCAGATTTGATTTCAATATGGTATGGTATTTCAGTATAGGTATTCCAATGATGGGGTGCTATTTCTCACACTGACACCAATGATGGGGCACGATTCCTCGCTCTGACACCAATGATGGGGCACTATTCCTCCCACTGATACCAATGATGGGACACTATTCCTCCCACTGACACCAATGATGGTGCCCCATCATTAGTGTCAGTGTGTGAGGAATAGTGTCCCATCATTAGTGTCAGTGGGAGGAATAGTGGCCCATCATTGGTGTCAGTGGGAGGAATAGTGCCCCATCATTGGTGTCAATGGGAAGAATCGTGCCCCATCATTGGTGTCAGTGGGAGGAATAGTGCCCCATCATTGGTGTCAGAGGGAGGAATAGCGTCCCATCATTGGTGTCAGTGGGAGGAATAGCGCCCAATCATTGGTGTCAGTGGGAGGAATAGCGCCCAATCATTGGTGTCAGTGGGAGGAATAGCGCCCAATCATTGGTGTCAGTGGGAGGAATAGCGCCCCATTATTGGTATCAGTGGCAGGAATTGCGTCCCATCATTGGTATCAGTGGAAGGAATAGTGCCCCATCATTGGTATCAGTGGCAGGAAAAGTGCCCCATCATTGGTATCAGTGGGAGGAATAGTGCCCCATCATTGGTATCAGTGGGAGGAATAGTACCCCATCATTGGTGTCTGTGGGGGAAGGAATAGTGTTCCATCATTGGTGTCAGTGGGGGGTGGAATAGTGCCCCATCATTGGTGTCAGTGGGGGGAGGAATAGTGCCTCATCGTTGGTGCCAGTGGGGGGGGGGGAATAGTGCCCCATCGTTGGTGTCAGTGGGGAGGAGGAATAGTGCCTCATCGTTGCTGTCAGTGGGGGAGGAATAGTGCCCCATCATTGGTGTCAGTGGGGGGGGGAGGAATAGTGCCAATAGTGTTCCAGCATGGTGCTGCTGCACACTTACTCTCTCACTCGATTTTCGTGGGGCGGCTCGGCTCCGCCTCCTCGCCGGTGATTGGCCGCCTGTGTGCCTTTCCTGAGCTACAGTTCTGGCGCCCAATCACTGGTGAGGAGGCGGAGCCGAGCGGCCGTGTGGACATCGAGCGGCAGAACAGAATGAAGGAGCAGCTGCGCTTCCTGGACCGGATCGTCGTGGGACCGAAGCCAGGTAAGAAACAGCAGCCCCCTGCCCGCCCCTGTACTTAGTGTCTCTTCCGTTGGGGGGGGGCACCGCGCCGCCCCCCAAAAAAGTGCCGCCCTGACACCGGCTCGCCGTATACCGGCGTATAAGACGACCCCCGACTTTTCAGAAGATTTTCATGGGTTAAAAAGTCGTCTTATATGCCGGAAAATACGGTAGCTTGACTACGCTAAGTATATATTCTCCCTTCTGTTTACAAATCTGAACCATCCAGTCAAATGCCTGTTTTTATTTTACAATTTTCAATTTTATTGGCTGACAGTGGTTGCCTTCGTATTGCTTAAAATATCTTTACTACTGACAATCAAAAATGTTGTGCTTTTTCACCTGTACAAGAGTTTCTCTATACTCACATTTCTGTAAAGCAAAAATATTCCCATTATCTTTGGGTTACTCCTGACAGAGGCTTCTTGTAAAGAAGGGTTTTCATTTACTAAAATTTTTTCTACAACTAAAATTGCTCCATTTATAGTATTTATACAAAACTATTTTTTTACAGTTTAGTATTTTGCAAAGTTACACTGTTATTAACCAACATATAAAACCAATGTATTCTGATTATTGTTTTTTTCTTTAGTAGGGAGGTTCTCAATCTAACGTATTCCATTCATTCCTGTAGATCCTGGCAAAGCTTTTATTTACAAAATGCTCTGTGAGGTCTGAACCATTAATTAAGATTTAAACATTGCCTCTGAGTTATAACCATTGTGGAAACAAAAGATTTTAACATGTTTTTCCATTAACAGCGAAATATTCATTGTTAAGTCTAGCTGTCACTTACTGGGAAAGATGAGCAAATAATGAAAAATTCACCCTCCTAAAATTAGTCATCCTTACATCATTACACCATATTCCTTGTACTTTGTATTTTACTTTTACCTCTGCTGTATTTCTTAATCATATTATTTTACTTTACCTTATACTATAGCTAGAATACATTTAAGCCCTATCCACAATCCATTATCTCCCAATCCCAATCAGGTCAAGTTTTTTTCAGGTCTGTGCATGGACCGTTGGATGAATATTCTACTCGATAGGAAATGTATATATAGCACTACCCCCTTAAGAGTCGCCAGAAGATTTGGGTCCCCCTATAGTCCTGCACAAGCAGGCATAACACATCTTCACAAAAGCTGGCATCTAGAGTCAGAAATGAGTCTTTGAGCTTTGGTTTTGGTTTTTTTTTTTATTTAGGGGTTTTGAACTGGGATAAGTTTAGGGGTGTACAGAATGCCCAAGGAAACTCAAACTGAGGACACCTTCCTGGAACTATTTACAAGCCTTCTCTGCAGCACAATCTTTGTTGGAAAGCTAGCCAGCGTCTCCTTAGTGTACCACCCAGACCCTTGATGAGCTTCTCCTCTTTACCCAGCAATCTGGAGGTATCCCTGAATAGGGGATCCAGTTCCTGTCGCTTTAAGAGATGAACAGTCACTGGCAGGTTTCCACCAGAGTGCTCCTTCCCCTATCTGCCAAGGGGGTGTAGGTGTACTCATGCTGGGCCGCTCCTTCCCTGCCGTACAGGTGGTCCTCTCTCATGGGGCTGGTGAGCTCTGAGTTTTCCTCCTTTCCAGCTCCAGGCCTGCAGATAGGCCTCATCCCACTGGGCCTCCTCACAGCCTCCTTCCTTCAGCCCCACATCCTCCTTTCTGTCTTCCATCCGAACTCTCCCTCTAACTCTCCTGCAACTGAGCAGGCTCCAACACTTTCAAGGGTGTCCAGCCCCTTGCCAACCTGTTGTTGGGGATTGGCTAGGATCCCTCAAAATTGTAACCAGCCACTCCTCAGATCCACCCATTGCCTCTGGGACCCTCCTTCAAAAGCCCTAGAGTATAGGGAAATTTCAGAAGGGCTGGCCTGCAGCGCCTCTCAGCCCTGACCACAATTTGACTCCTCTCTGGCTATTACACCTGGGCTGCTGTTCAGCCACTGTTTAACCATTGGAGTCTAGCTACATATACTCCAAGGCACAGAGGACAGAGAGTGAACAAGGCATGTGACACACAGTATACAGCAAGTTTCCTCTGAGCAGTGATGTTGCTCCCTTGCCCCCAACTTATACACACTGACAAAAAATATTTTTCCTTCTCCTTCCCCCACTAGCACCACTGTTTTAGCCTTCTCCTTGGCACCAATGTTTTATCCGCCCCCTTTCCCCACTGACACCATTAATTTACCAATGTTTTAACCCACCACCCATCCCCTCTCCAACTGCTACCTAATGACACTTGTGTTTTACCTCTCCTCCACTGATGCCAGTACTTTATACCCCTGCCAATTACAACAATCTTTTATTCTTTCCCCTACCCCTACTAAGCCTAATGGTTCATCCTCCACTGACACCAATGCTTTATTTCCCCTACTCACACCAATGTTCTATTCTTCCACCTTCTCTGACACCATTGTTTTATTCCTCCATTTTCTCCAACTGATACCAGTGTTCTATTCTTACCCCAATGACACATGTGCTTTACCCTTTACCCTATAAAGCATGGTCCAATTTGCTCCAGTGAGGGAAAAAAATTGCTTCCGGAGGCAATTAGATATTCTCTGGATCAACCATTTTTGGTGCTATTACCTATAGATGTCAATATCAAAGTTATGTTAGGTGCATTTAGGAATGCATTCAGCTCTTTTTTATAACAGTCTACTGAGCTGGCAAGAACTAGTCTATTCTACATTTTCCCAGCTCCTACTGTGAAGAAGCCTTTCCGTATGTGTATGTTAAAATTTATGCACTTAACCCCTCCATAAAATAAATGTTGAGCCCCCATTCCCTTACATACACATACATAGGTTCATAAGCGAACACTTTGGGTGCACCTACATACGAAAAGTTAATTTGTGTTACACGTTACATTTTGCTGCATGCACCAGAATAAGAGCAATAGCTCTAGGGGCATTATTCATGTTAACTCTAAATTGATTACCTGTAAGAGCTTTTAAAAGATTGCTAATGGAAACACCGGGGTACTGAAATTTGTTGCCGTTTCACAGGCATGCCCATTTTTTTGGCACAGCCCCATCTTTTCTATGTTACAAAATAAAGGAAATGTATTGCATTTGTGTACACTAAAATTAATTTTAGTGTATTTTTACTGATAAGTTATGCTAGCCAAATCATTGCACCAATATCACAAGGAATGTAATATTAAACTACCACCATTTTATTCACCAGGGTCTATACTTTTAGAAAATATACACCATTTGTGGTTTTAACTAATCTTCAAGCCTAAAATTATTATTTTAATTTTGCAAAAAACTCATAAACATTGCAAAAACATCTCTGGCTGCAAAAGGGTCAAATGCAAGGAAGACACACCACATAATGTAAAGGAAGCTTTAAGTTTAAAAGCAGTCCCATGCACTTCTGCCCCTTTTACCTGGCAAATTAAATAAACAGCACTGATCCTGAGTTTACCAAGAATGCTGGCAGTTCTCTAGCTACCTGCCCCAGTTATTGATACAGTATTCTTACAGTTGGCACTGTCAGATGCCACAAAGTGATCTCTGACTTGCAGTTTTTAACCACTCATAAGGAATTCTGTTCATATGTGTTCTTTTCTTTGTCCTGAATGAGTGCCATTTCAAAGACAATTTTCCAGGGATTTTAGGAGATGCAGCAATTGTACTACATTTTGAACTGTTTCAGATTTCATTTGTTTGCCTTATCTTGAATGATTTATTTCAAATGTTTTATTTAAATTAAGTAAATATTTATGGTACTATAATATGCATTGCTGTGTACTTTAATTAACTTCCACAAATTCTATACCTGTAGTAGAAAATAAAGCATGTGTCAGACAACATCCTGCTTCTGTGTATCTGAGATTGCAAGCTAGACATTACACTTAATTCAATTCCATCCAGTAACAGTGACACCCCCCCCCCCCCCCCCCCATCCTGCATATCTGCAGAAGAATGTTTTGGATTCAACATAGGTAATTCTATAGCTCACAAGGTCAATGAACTCCAAAGTCATATAGCCTGATGGTATGCTAAATCAACTGTATTTAAAAAAAAATCATGTACATACTAATGTATTTATTTGTCCTCTCTCCAAAAAAAACCTTAGGGCAATTTCTAAAAAATATCCAGACAGGAGGGAAGAGCAATTTGGAATGTTATGACCCTGCTTGAAATTACTATTGTAAGAATGACTAACGCCAACTCGGCTTTTTTTTTTATACTCTAGTAAAAGGTTTTCATTTTATGAAAGCTGCTGTTACCCAACTGCTAATCCTCAGTGGGTTTAGAGAAATAGGGATTATCTCTCTCCATTTATATCCAACTTTTCCTCTCAAACCAGCCCATCTCTGCATGCCAAGAAATGTTTTATGTCTACTCTTAACCATTATGTTGCTGCAGCACACTATCTCACAGGCATACATAATAATTGTGGCATCAGTGTCAATAAATGTTATTAAAGTAGACTGTAACAAATGGAAATTTCAAGATACACAACAGGACTTTTTAATCAAAGAGCCTGATGTATCAGTAACAAGACCTGAATTTACTTCCTATCCAAAAACTAGATTTCAACCTGGTCTTAAAGAATCTAACTTGTGGATGTGGAAAAATAACTTCAGGACTCTCTGAAAGAATAGTAAAATCAATCAATTAGGAAGGTAAGATTGTTTTTTATTTTTTTTTCCATAATATTTTTTTTGAGAAATAATAAAGCAGTACAACAGTATCAATATTAATATTACAGCTCTTGGGTATAACATAGTGCATGCATCTACATCCAGAAGTTGAGTTCAGATGTGTCAGATAGGCGTGGGTGACAAGGTAGGTACATAGAGAACTTCAATTCAATGTATGCGCTCTGAACTCTGAAAGTCTTCAATAGTCATCCTCTAGGAGGTAAGTATCTTATTCTCCAGGGAATAGAGAAGCTGGTACAAATATGCTGTGTAAGCAGTAGATCGTTTGTATGTTAAAAATATAAAAAATAAATACATAAAAAAAAAAAAAATTAAAAAAATTAAAAAAGGGGGGGAAGAGTACAGGGTGTGCATATTAAAGTGAACTGATGCTAAGCTGGATCAGCCGGCAGGGTAAATTAGGTCGGGTCTACCTATTGGGGATCCTTTTACCAGATAAGCTATAGCAGAGGGTAGGGACAGAAGAAAGAGAAGAAAAGAAAGAGGAAAGAAAAAAAAGGGGGAGGGGGGAGTTGGGGGGGGGGTTGGGAGGTAGGGGGGTTGGGGGGGAGAGGTGTGTGTTAGAGGATTAAGGGAAATAGTATATAAAGCATAGTAGTCTGGGTTCAAAAGGGTATGTGTGTTTTAATCATGAAAGCTCTGCACATATTCAATGCCCAGCTTGTCTAAGTGCAACACAATGCCTTTAGCAGTGCGCTAGACATGTCGGTTCTCGAAGGGGGGGGGACACAGATTTGGTTGGGAAGTGTATCTACCCGATTCTCAACTCAAGAGCACTGGGGGGGTGCCCATTAGGTTTTGGTATTCTGAGGTGGTTTGGAAGTGTGTCCAACAGGACCAGACATGAGAGAATTTTGGGGGGGTATCTTGAGCTTTCATGATAAGTTCTTCCATATCTGCAAATCTTCCAATGCGGGTGAGCCAATCCCTTACTGATGGGACTATATGAGATCTCCATAGGACTGGGATACAAAGTCCGGCGGCGTTTATCATATGCATCGCTAGCGACTTACGATAAAGACATTTGGAGAGAAAGGTATGGTGGAGAAGAAATTGGGCCAGGTGAATTCAAGAGGGAGAGTAGAGACTGAGGACAGAATGGCTGGATGGTGGGACATGTCCACCAAACGTGGAGAAGGGTACCCCTTTCTGCACCACATCTCCAGCATTTGTCAGGAATTGACACGTGGAACCGGTGAATCCTCGAGGGGGTCCTATACCAGCGTGAGAATAGTTTATACCCATTCTCCTGAGTGGTAACATTGGCAGAGCCTTTGTGAATGATTGAGAAGATTTGTTGCCATTTTGAGGTTGTTAGTTCTAAGGCTAAACCTTTTTTCCATGCTCGGCATGCTGGGAGCGCCTGTGGAGCATCAGTATCGAACAATAGTTGATACATGGTTGAAATAAGATATCGTTGGGGAGCGGTATAAGTGCAGGTGGATTCAAGGGTCGTAAGAGATCTATTCCAATAAGGAAGAAGTGCTGGAGTGAGAAGAAAGTGTCGTATCTGTAGATATGTCCAAAAAGGAAAGACCTGATTCCGCATGGATTTGGCAAGGAAAGCACGGGTCATCACTTGGCCTTTGTGGAAAAAGTGTCTCGCTTGCATGTGCCTATGGGGCCAAAAATCACTCAGGAAGGCGTTCTGTATACTTGGAGGAAAGTCAGGATGCATGTGTATAGAGGTTAATGGGCTAGGTATAGAGGATATTGAATGCGTTTTACACGCTGAGTGAAAAGTTTTAGTGTCGGGCCAATGAGTGGATGGGAGAGGAGAGTGTGGGGGAGTATGTTTTGCTTGCAGCCAGGGGAGCAATGCAATAGGTGACTGAGAGAAGTCACTCAGGCCTTAGTGGGCAAGTGAACATTCCAGTCGATGATTCTAGTGAGGTGGCATGCCTGGTAATATTTTTGGAGGTCTGGGAGTCCTATCCCTCTAGTTTTAGGGAGCGTCAGTTGTGAAAAAGAGATGCGTGGGTGCTTATAGCTCCATAAAAATCGAGAGCAGAGACGTCTACAGAGGGAAAAAAAGCAGGGGGCAGATGAATGGGGAGGGTTTGAAAAAGATAGAGAATATGGGGGAGTATGTTCATTTTCAATATGGTGGTTCTACCAAACCACGAGAAGAAGGGTAAATGCCATTTTTGTAGGTCACATTGGATTGTGCGGATAACTGGGAGAAAGTTTTTAGCTTATATTTCAGAAAATCTCCAGGAAGTTGGATACCTAGATAAGTGATAGCATCCGTTTTCCACGTGAAAGGAAAGTGAGATTGGTAGAAGGAAACCAGTGATGCAGGGAGGGAGACGTTTAGTGCATATGATTTGGAGAAGTTAATTTTCAGATTTGAGATGCTCTGGAAATGTGTGAAGTCGTTGAGGAGATTGGGTAAAGTGATGCGAGGTTCCGTGAGGAAGAGTAATATGTCGTTCGCATATGTGGCGATCTTATAATCCTTACCTGCAACCGAAATGCCTTTAATGGCTTGATTTGATCGAAGTTTATGAAGAAGAAGCTCAAGCATCAGGACAAATAATAGCGGTGAGAGTGGGCATACCTGGCAAGTGCCATTTTGGAGGGAGAAGGCTTCAGACAGGTGGCTGTTCACGCGTACTTGAGCTTTTGGAGTGGAGTAGAGGGCCATGATGAAGTTCAGCATATGGTCTCCTATATCCATATGTTTTAAAACCGCCCTCATATAGTCCCAGGCAACCCTGTCGAAAGCCTTCTCGGTGTCCAGGGAGAGAAAAAATCCATTTTTTTTGGTTTTGCGTAGCCAATGGTGGAGGTTAAGGGCTTTAATGGTATTATCCCTAGCCTCTCGTCCCAGGACAAAACCCACC